GGGGGAGTCTAGAGCTCCCTTTAGTTCCCACGCAAGAAGTCTAGAGCTCCCTTTCGTTCCCACGCAGGGAAGCAGCTAGGAACTCAGAGTGAATAAACTTCCCTAAAATATTTCCTGACATCATTCTCTGTATTCTGTAAGTGATAGTATTAGAAAAGACGCCTAGCTGAAACAATATGGGAATAGCCAAAAAGGTGCAGCAAAAGAAAACAAATAGAAGTATAGTCTCATACTTGTCCTGATTAAATAGGTCAATGATCTGTGTTCTGCCATTGTCATGGTTGAAGAAGATGAATAGACTCCAATGCATTAGCCATATTCTATTCTGAACTTGATTCAACGGAGTCGAGAAACTCTGCAAGACATGTGACTCTCTTAGTAAACATAGAAATAAAAAAGGAGCATCATTCAAGTTCCCTTACTAGATATTCCAACTTGTAAGATCAACTCAAACACACAGATAGTGGACTCAGCATATGCATAATATTACCTTCGAGTCGATAATTTCCTTCAAGCGGTTGAGTTCCTCGAGCGCAATATCCCAATTCTGCATTAGTATCTCAGCAGCAAGCTTTCCCCACAATGCACTGACGCTCCTGTCACTGTTTGTACACAAGGCTCGGTATTGGTAAAGATAATCAGCAGCACCAGAGTAGTTTCCACATTCAAACTGGAACTTGGCATACTGATACAATGCCTCTATCTGGTCTGGACCAATCTGGAGAGATTCATAACATTGCATTAACCAATTATTAAGAAGAGAGAACAGTGGGTATTCTTATATAAAGAGCCATTTAGCATCACTAATCAAATAGGAAAAGGTCTTCACAATATTAGCTGAAGGAAAACTTCTATAAGTTAATCAATCTCCTACGTATCTTGTATCCCAGTAAGTATTTCAAAAACTAGAAATTCCATATTAAGTAAACCAGAATAGCCCCACTGACCTGGTACCGCTCCTGGAGCAGCTGAAGATTGTGCTGTTTGTCAGCTCTCAATTCCTGGACAGCACTGGAATTCTGCAAAAAATTAATCAATGGGGCTGCAGCTTCCTCAAGTGCTTTCAACCTTGCCACAACTTCAGCTCTCCTCTCCATCATCTCTGAATAACCAACAACATTATCAAAATGCATTGCTTAGTTACACATGCAAAGGGAACCCCTAAAATCACCTCTGCTCATACAAAATATCTCCGATATTTAAGTGTATAGCACAAACTTAGCTTTAATCTCGCATATTGCCTATATATAGACCATAGACCTCAAACTAAACAGAGAACACAGACAACAATCTTAAAATTAACTACCACGTCAAACACCTAAGGTTCTAGCCTAGCGGTCAAAGAAATGGGTGCAAGCCTTGGAGACTAGGACGAAAATACCAGCAGACAATAAGCAAAAAACACAAGGTTTATTTCTTCTCGCTTGCTTTAAGCCTTGGTGGACATAGTCACTCGACACCTATGCTACTGGGAGTTAGCAGGTACCGGTGGAATGGTCGAGGTATGCGCATGTGACTGGGGCGAGACTGTATTACAGCAAACACAACTAACAACTCCAAGAACCCTAATAGACTATATTAGCAAAAACACCTCCAAACAACTCCAAAAAGACAATAATCAAACAAGA